CAACTTTTGCTATTAGCATAGCTAGAGCAACTCCAGCGCAAAAGCCTAGTGATCACATAGCAAGCACCCTTTCATTACACCACAGCACAGCCAACTGTGCTACTAATTTTAGAATCCAGTGTTAAAAATCAAAGTATTCCTCCTCCCCAACGCTTACCTGTTCCTAGCCACACCAGTGACAGTTATTTTAGTGCACTCTGTTGCTTATGTGAAAAGTGAGCCAACCCACACAGCACCATCAGGAAGCAGGAGGCCTATGCTGTGCTTTTATGATTGATACACGTATGGGAAATGTTGATCACAGCTTGAACTTCTGATTGACCACCTGAGGTGAGCAATGAGTCAGGCACAGGAGCACAGGTGAACGCAATTCACCTGTGCTACCAGAAGAGGGTAGAGCCTGGCTCCACCTCTCCTGGACCCCATTTAAGTTGTGTCTGGTTAACCCAAAGACTGCCACTGAGGAAGGATCTCTTTTAGAGATTGCTTTTTGTGGAGCTTATTGTGAACATTTTTCATTTATCCTTCCACCATGATAATCCTACTTAGCCTAGCTTCTGTACACCTATTGATAGTACAATACATTGTTTTTTTTTAAAACCTAATCATTTCTCAAAATAAAGATAATAAGCTCGCTAGAATGAGCGGTAGCTCAGGATTAATCAGCTGAAATTAAACAGGAATACCCAATATGGGACTGTAGGAAGTCTGGGTGGGTAAGCCAAGTGCCTTGTTATGATGCACAGGGAAGTGCCCTTGCCCCTCTTTGAAGCAGACAGCAAAACACTCAGGTCATTCTTAGAGCAACACTAGTCCAGCACTGAAATCCACCTGCCCGCATTCCTGCACTTGAGCAGAGCTATGCATGCTGCAGAAGGCTTCAGGGCCCTGAATGCAAAATACGTTTGTGTTCTGATACCTTACATAGCCACCTAGCAGCCCTGTCCTGCCACTAATTGCACTGACCTCTTCAAGGTGCATCAGGGGAGGTTCAGGTTGGACATTAGGGAAAATTTCTTCTCTGAAAGAATGGTAAGGCACTAGAACTGTCTGCCCAGGGAGGTGTTTAAGAACTGTGTGGGTGTGGCACTGATGGACGTGGTTAGTGGAGATGGGTAGACAGTTGGACTAGGTGATCTTAGTGGTCTTTTCCAACCTTAATGATTCTATGACGAGAGCCATTGGTTCCTGCTATACACTGAGGCCCCAAGAGCCACTCGTCACCAAAACCTACGTGCCCTGTGACAGTGATTTGAGCTCAGCAGCTGTGCACTGTTCAGTCTGCCCATCATCAGGCTGCAGAGACCTGAACAGCAGCCTTAAGACCTCATTCCTAGACCTCAGTTCCTGCCTAAGCTGGTGCCTGGCAGGGCCTGTCACTGGGCATAGACCTCAGCTCCAGACAGCATGCACACAGAGGCCCCAGCCACATCCCCCCCCCCATCCAGTGAGCAAAGAAGGGGCCTTTTATGTTCCTCAGATGCTTTCAAAGATGCGTCCCAGCAGAGATCAAATTCCTTTGTAAAAGCGTGCCTAGGGAGAGGGGAGCAGCAGTGGAGTGCTAGAAAGTTTGAATTATTTATAAACAGTAAATAAATTAGACAAGAATTGGTAATATGAGCTCTGAACAAGGGCATCTTTATTCAGCTAAGCAATAGGATGAGTGAAGAAAACTATTTTCTGATGAAAGAAATGAAAGATCAGCAGATTACTGGGACAGGTCATGACTGCACAAGAGGGATCTAGTTGGTCCCAAAGTCCACCTGCAGCCTGGTAGTAGAAGCCAGCATTAGGGCACAGCTTAGCTGTGCTGATGCTAATAACCTCTTTCTCTCTATGGAAGTGCCAGCAGCAGCTGGTATGAGAGGACAAAAAAAAAAACATGGTGTATTCCTGGGGTGCTGAGCAGCTGAAGGAAATGAAGCATTTATTTTTTCTTAACAAAACAAATGCAGTAGCTACCTAATAAAGAGATCAGTGAGGAAGAAGAAGTTCCCTGCGTAGAGGGTTGGGTGACCAGAAAGCAGCCAGTTTTCCCTGTCCTGCAGAAGGGCAAGTTACAAGGCCAGGAGGGGGGTGGTGGCTTCCCTGGGACTGCAGAATGGTCACGAACCCCAGGAAACTTTCCATTTCATATGTATGGTGCCTATGCAGAAATAGCATCATGACATCCTTTTAAGAAAAGCTCTCAAGCAGACAGTGCAGCAAAGCTCTTGTGGCATATATATCACCCCTCTGGGGAAAGATGGGATAAATCTCATATTACAGAGGTCACTTGTGGTTCTTGATGTAGTTAGTACTCAAAGACACTGGGGTAGTACAGCAGTGGTTACACCATGGATGCAGAAGGAGCCCTTCTGCCTCCCTGTGTTTCCACTAGGAAGTTGGGGCTGATTTGGGTTAACCAGCAAGCACTGCTGGTAATCAGCAGCTCGCCTATGCCTTGTGATAGCCAGAGCATGAAGCCCAGCTTCTGAAACCAGATGATGTCAGGAAGCTACTTCCTCTGTTTTATAGTTATTACACAAAAGGGAGAAGTATGCTCAGAGGGAAAAAAGCTGGGAAGTGCGAGTCTTTGGTATGCACAAAACCACTACATGATGAATTTCTGTACCAAAGGAAAAAAACAGCCATCCCCATAGAGGGTGGGCTGACAGGGCTGCTGCCCTCTTTTGTCACAGCTGGTGGCCACTGGGTAGACCCAGCGGGCTGTTTATCTGCACTGACCCTCACTTTCTGTCTCTCTCCCCAGGTCTGGCTGGCTTTGCTCGACTCTGCCCTGGGGATCAGTATGAGGTATGTAGCACTTGGCTTCTGGTTCAGCAGAAGAAGAATTAAAAGGGAGGCAGACTCCTGCTGCATTTTACTCCGCATTGAACAAAACTTAGTGACATCTACATGCCAAGAAACAGCTGCTAGTTTTCCTGTAAGCTTTCTGAAAATCATTGCAGGTCTCTATCTTCCTGTGTTAGGGCATCTGTCACAAGACCTGAAAATTACATTTGGAGCACTGGGTGATAGCTATTCCGTGAACTACAAGACTTTTTTTTTTTTTTGTTAATGAAAATAAGGTCACTGCAGTGACCTAGAGAACATCAAAAGCAGGTTCATTAGAAATAGGTTAAACTAAAAGTCTCCAGCTCTGTCCAGCAGGGAATTTGCAGTGGTTTGATTATGGATTCCCCCTACAATCTGCAGCTTGCAGCTGTCTTGGTTATTGATTCCCCACTCTGGCTATCATCAGTTTCTCCCACCACTTTCATGCCTGCAAGCCTCTGCTGGCCCAACATTGGTGCTGATTTTACCCAGCCAGCTCTGAAGTTCCATAGCAGCCATACCAGCATACCACCTCAGTTTGAGGTGTTGCACCATTGTCACTCTGTTTTCATCATCAGCAAAAGCCCTGCAACTGCAAAGGCCTCTCAATAGGGGACAGCCAAACCCCGCTTAGCCTACCCATCAAGCTGGAGGAGTTAGGGAACTGCAAAAGGTGACCTTCCCTTTCCAATATTTGAGCATTAAGAGAGCATATTGCTCAAGATAATAAGAGGAGTTTTCTTTTTCAGATTTTCATGCGTTATGGTCGCCAGCGATGGAAATTGAAAGGCAAAATAGAAGTGAATGGCAAGCAAAGCTGGGATGGAGAAGAAATGGTCTTCCTCCCTCTCATTGTTGGGCTGATCTCCATAAAGGTATGCATACTAACTTTTCTGCCTGCAAGCAAGACAAGAGCCAAGAGACTGCCTTTATGTGCACTATCAGCAAAAATACAGAAGTAGATCATGAAACTTCTTTGAAATGAGTCATAATTAGTATTTCAAGCACACTTGACTAAAAGAAGTGCCATAGTACTATGCAGTCCTAGATGCGACAAGGCTAATCAGTTTGGTAGCCCTGTGGGAGAGGTTGCCTTAATGCTCCCTATATAGGCACCTTTACTAACGTAACCCTTGCCTCACATCACTCTCCAGCAACTCTTAGTTATCTGCACTAAAGCAACATAAATCTATAGAAACCTATTTGCTAACAGTATTCAGCAAAACAACAACAAAAGCAAACTGAAAACCCCAAAAAAATCCACTACTGATGAGTTAGATGAGTTAGTTAATGCTGCTCAGATAAGAGAGCAGCATCTGTTGATCTGGAGAAATACAGAAGTCTCCAGTTCAAACACACGCAGGGAACAGTCAGGTGTAAGTTGGAACAGCCCCAGAGCTCAGTCCTACCACCCAGCTGCACTAAACAAACTTGTGCACCTGATTCTTTTGCAGTTCCTACACAGCAGTTCCCGAAGTTTAACATCTCTCTTCATGCCTGATTCCAGATCCTGTCCTCTGTACAGGATCTGCATGTATAACTATCTCTCTGAATTTTCAATAAAAGAGATAAATGTACACGTAAGCTTGAATAGTGCTGTACTCTACTCTTACTATAAAAACTTGAATGGTTTTATGTGAGATTTTTTTCCTACTAGATTTGTACAAGTCTTTACCAAACACCATTATAGATGGAATGATTACATAGGTTCAGAGTTACAGGAAACGAATACAGAGACATGAGTCCCCTTAGGGGTTACTAGATAGGCAAACTTTATTAGGAAATACCCTAATATGAAAGCTGCCTATTGCAGAGAGAATATTAGATGAAATAACACAGATACACTATGCCTGCTACTGCTATTCCCTCAGACTCCACATACAGTCACTGCTGAAGAAGATACAACACAAGACAGTCCTTGGTCTGACCCAGCCTGCTGGTTCTCTTCTCTTCTCTTCAACAAAAACCATAAAGTAAACGTACAAGATATTCCTGTGTTTTGTAAACATGATTGTGTGCAATTATACATTTATGAAAAAGAGAAAATAAATTTTCATTTTTCTGTAGTTTTTCTGTAAGTTATGAAGACGCAACAAATATAATCATATTTTAAAAGCCTTCTAGCAAGAGACCCAGACCAGAAAAAAACCAAAACCGTTTCTTGTAATTAAGGATTACAGTACCTTGCATGATCATGGATGTCCTGTTTTTTTCCCTCATAGGTGACAGAAGTGAAGGGACTTGCTACTCACATCCTTGTAGGAAGTGTAACCTGTGAAACAAAAGACCTGTTTGCAGCTCGGCCTCAGGTGGTTGCAGTAGACATTAATGACCTTGGCACAATCAAGCTGAACCTTGAAATCACCTGGTAGTAAGTAGAACTGGTTGGATGGTCTCAAGGTCAAGTGGCTGTTTTAAAGAAAAATAGATAAAAATCACACAGAAGAGATCTATCAATGTAGTCTCCTCTCTTTATGGGAAAAAATATGGTTTAAAAGTTAGACTTTGTGGGTTTTGTATGTGGTGTGAAGGCAGTGGGAAGTTTCCTAGCACTGTCTATCTGCAGTGGTAAGCATGGGTAAGCTGATAATGTTTGGATTCAGAGCCAATTCTCAGTGTGTTTTAATGAAATAGATAACTGTCATTTCTTAAGCAGCATTAATGTTTTTCACTTCTACAGTCATGTATGCTGTTTCTTGTAATCCAATAAATATGAAGCTAGCAATGACAGCAACTGATTTCCTTTATAATACAACAGCTCTATTAGCTACTGTTAACTCTACTGAGCACCTACCTTGTTATTACATGTTCTACCTGTCAATTCAGCTTCAAGAATACCCTTCTTGTGAGAAGCAGGCAGTACTGCATAAAAGGTTTCTGAGAATAAAATGCTTTTAGAAATGAAAACTGTACATCTGAGCCTGCTACTTAATTAACATTTTAAAACACTCCAGTTAAAAAAAAAAAATTCCAGCTCTGAGATTTGATGTGCTAATAAACACCCTTTTCAAAAAATCCTTTCTGTGGACCTGAAATTCCTTCTCCATCAGCCTAACAATGTTTTTTTAATTATTATTATTTTATTTTATTTTATTTTCCCCATCTGTGTGCTTGCAGCCCCTTTGATGTGGAGGACCTGACCCCCACCACGGGAAATGTGAGCAAGGCCTCCGCTCTCCAAAGGAGAATGTCCATGTACAGCCAAGGCACTCCAGAGACACCAACCTTCAAGGATCACTCGTTCTTTGTAAGCCCTCCTTGGCTTCATGTTTATGTAATGAGAAACCCTAGCACAGTTCAAACACTGCAAAGGCTTCATTGCTTTCTACATCTAGGCTTTTTTCCCTGGTGTCAGCAGGTTACCCTCACAGATGCTTATAAAGCAAATGCATTTCTAGCTGCTAATCCTCAAAGAAGGTGACGGTGGTCCTGGCATGCTATATGGCCAACTACCATGTAACTGTTCTCCCCTGACTGCTGTGTTACTTGAGTAATCTCTATAAAATCTCTGTTCTTCCTCTAGCAGTGGTTAAACAGGCATTGCCGCAATAGTATTTTTAATGCGTCCCCTGGTAAAAAAGAGATTTGTAAGGTGCTCTTAGATTTTGTGTGAAACAAATTCTGAATGCTTTATAAGGACTGCATATTAAGCTGGATAGGCCAACTGTATAGATGTGAATTTTACAGGTGCTATGTCCCGTGCCTGTAATTTAAATACTCTGCTGCTAAGCATTGAGTTAACCTGCCCTCCTTACCATGTTTGCTTTTAACTGTTGAAGAAATGGCTGCATCCCCTGCAAGACAGGCCAAGGTTGGCAATCTTAGATGCTCTGCAAGACACTTTCTTTGACAAGCTTCGGCGCAGTCGCTCTTTTAGTGATCTGCCATCGCTCAGGCTAAGCCCCAAAGCGGGGCTAGAGCTATATGTGAGTCCTGGTATTTGTGTGCTGAAGGAGTTTATCAGTCCCCATGTGGCATCTCCATTCCCATGCATGCCTCGTGTGCTGCTTTCTGGTGCAACTTGCTTATTTTGCTGACTGCTGAGAGGGGAGAGCGTGAGTGTGAACCCACGCTGCTTGCGCTAAAGCAGAGTTCCTCTTGGTTTCTACAGGGGTAATGTTCTGAGTGCAGAGAGGAGTGCAGAGCAGGAGCACAAGCCAGTATGGTATTCTTAAAAATGGAGTTATTGAAAATGGCGTGCCATGCTGATTCATGTTATACATTTGCTGAGTGACTTGACTTTCAGCAGTAAAGGAGAGGTTGAAAGCGCACTCATGCGAGGTGAAAGAAGAAATAAGAGTGTCGTTATGTCTAGGGAAAAAAGCTGCTGGAAAAATGATGAAAATTTCAAACATTTTAACTGTGAGTACCTTGCCAACATGGGAGTGCCTATAGTTCCTTCCAGCAAATTGTCAGCAAAATACTAGTTGTCATTCATCTGTGCTGTGCTTTTGCATGAGTTTGCCATGTAATGGAGGCTAAAATTTGCTTCAGAGCCCATCAGTGTGAAATTTCAGGCTTTAATTTATTACATTCTGCCTCCAGGCAGGTTCTTGTACTTCCCCTCCTTACTGCTTTTTGCCTTTCTTTCCATTCTAAAAATTGTGTAAAATAATAGAAGGATGTGTACTACAGCTCTGAGATGCTTCAAACCTGATAGCAGGGAAGAAGTCAGTAGAAATGTTCTAACTCTCTCCAATGAGCAGTAAGTGAGTTTAACATGAGATTAAGGCAAAATTTGTGCTTCAGATAGGCAGTGGGGTCAGGTAGACAACCTGCAGTGAGTGTCCCCATAGGTGAGCCAGAGGTGAATGTATATGTGTGCTGATAATCACTCTGGGGGGAACATGTGATATCATTTTTGGATCGATATATGCTGTTTTTGTTTCCTAAGTGATCCGTATTCTGCTCAGTACACCACCACACAAATCCTTCTGTTTCCTTTTGGATTAAGTTCGTGTTGAACATGATTCTTGTGTAGCTCACGTTCAGCAATAGGCAGAGGTATCTGCATGTGGTTGTGTACTTTCTACAGGAAAGGAATAGCATGGTCATATCCCCATTAAAATGATGTGACTGGAGAAACTTTTGGAGCAGACTGTTTTACAGTTTAGGGATTGCTAAGTCAGGAAATAAATACAACAGAAATCTGTAAGAACATGAAAATGTAGCCAAGATAGCTTGAGTGTAGCCCATCAGGAGGACTTCCCACAAGAAGTGGGGTAGTGCCATGGAAGTGCTGTCAGAGTCAATTTGCTTAGACAAACAGTGCTTGGTTGCTGCTGTGGGACATGCTTACCAGAGCTCTTGACTTACCCCAAAGAGATGTTGAACCAAGAGTTACCAGCAGAATCCTTCTGGAGTCAGGAACTGTGCCGGATGAAAGCACAAGTTGGACTTCAGTTTTCCCATTTCTCAAGTCTTGACTGCTTCTCGAATCTTATTCCTTGTATTTGTCTTTCCCAGACACATAGATCATTTTTTTTTCTTTCCAATGAGACATGAAAGACATTTTCTCTCTTCCTCAATTCTCTTTTCAGTCAAACTTGCCGGATGATGTCTTTGAAAATGGAACAGCAACCACAGAGAAGCGGCCTCTTTCCTTCACTTTTGGCGACCTGCCTTATGAAGACCACGTGCCCCCTGCCAACCCAGCAGAGCCCTCCTCTGCTCACATGAGCTCCAGCCCCGATATCACCAGCACTGCTACTCAGCACCGAGCTCACAAGTCGTCTGAGAGCTCGAGCCCAGACTGCAGCAGCAGTGACTCCTGCGGAGACTCTGTCCCTGAGCCCAAGGACCTGCCATCCTCCGGAGAGGCAGCAGTGACTGGGATCAAGGCCACCCCCAGGGCACATTCTGAAGCTTGCCAAAAGCCCTCCGATGCCAGGAGCGATCGTGTCTTTATAGAGGCGAGCGTCCCGGTGTCTCTCCTGCAGGACACAGATGAAGGTTCTGAACTAAAGCCGGTGGAGCTGGACACCTATGAGGGCAACATCACCAAGCAGCTGGTGAAAAGGCTGACGTCTGCTGAGGTGCCTGGGACCCCAGAGAGGCTGCCGTGTGAGGGGTCCATCAGTGGGGAATCAGAAGGCTACAAGTCCTATCTCGATGGAAGCATTGAAGAAGCCTTGCAAGGGCTTCTCTTAGCTCTTGAGCCTCATAAAGAGCAGTACAAAGAGTTTCAGGACCTGGACCAGGAAGTGATGCATCTGGATGACATCCTAAAAGTGAGTACATTTTTGGAAAGTACTACACTAAAGGAGATCTGAGCGAGTAGAATCTCTTCCTCTTCCACGCAAACATCAAATCAGAGATCACTAAACAGATTTGCTCCCGTTGGAGCACCCTTTCACAGTGTTTTATTTTTAAGCATGTGTCTGCAGTGTGCTGGTGGTAGCCTTGTATGCTTGAGCAATGGATCCTTTAATCTACTCAAAACTTGGGGGAAAGAGAAAAAGGTACAATGGCAGAGGGGCAATTACATTATGCCTTTCTCTGCAGAAACCACTTGAGAGCCTGTTAGTTGTGCCATACTGGAGATCAGACCATAGCCAATCTTCTGCCTTTAAAATTCACAAGTCGCATCCTTGGTGGTTGTACTTTGGCTCTGCAAAGCTACACCAGCTGAGGATCAGGCCATGTAGGCATGGCAGCTGAATTTTCTGAACTGCCAAGGTGATTTTTGAAGCGCAGATCCTACTGAAGGTTGCCATTCCTTCCTTGCTTTTTTCCCCAAGCCTTTTCTGTTTTTCCCCCATGCATTTTTAAAAGAAGAAATCCTGTCTTTACACCAGGATGAACCAAACACATTGGAGGTTGGAAAGAAGTAATGAATTTTGTATGTGTGTTGTTAGTATGTTGACTGCTGATCACTGTGACTCATATCTCCCTGTGAATAATAACTCATGACGTGTTACTGAGCAAATAGTATCACATGGGAAATAATCATTTCAAATGCTTCATATTCATGTGCAAGTTGGTCTGATAGTCATTTAAATCTCATCCTTTAAGTACAAGGCTGAGGAGGAAGGAGGGAAGCATTCATCTTTTTTACAAAAAAAAAAGCCCACAGCTTTGTTAACATCTTTGTTTCCATTGGTGTTTGCAGCTGCACGGTATTTCCCCAAGCTAAGTGGTGTTTTTTTTTTTGACAGTCTGCAGCCCCTGATTTTCGTACTATTTCCTCAGTATTTGAAGCAGGCAAAGCTACCATTGCTGTTGATTTTCAACTTCTTGGCTGCTCCGCCATGAAGTTGAGTGTCCAAGCAACACAGGGACAATGGAGACT